AGGGCTCCGCTCAACGGCTGCTCTATGCAAATGCCGGCACCGGGGGCGGCCCACGATCGTGTTGAAAAAGAAAAAAGGAAGAAAAGGAAGGAGGGAAGAGAGAGAGAGAGAAAAGGAGGGCGAAGATTTTCAATTACGGTCAAAAACCGTGGGGGAGAGAAGAGAGGTGATCCTGCGCGAATAGAAAACAGGTTGAAATAGGGCGGCATCCAAGGTTGAATGCAATTTTTGAGGCGCAACCCGTACACGAACTGGGTCACGTACGCCGGAAGTAAACGTCACGAGAATTAAAAGTCCTCCTCCTACTACCTCTCTCTCTCTCTCTCTCTCTCTCTCTCTCTCTCTCTCTCTCTCTCTCTCTCTCTCGACTTCGAATCACCACGTCCAAGAATTCCGGCTGAAAGATTCCGCTCCTTCTCCTCCTCTCCCATTTCTTTTTCCACCTTTCCTCCCGGTTTTTCCTTCTGCTCCCTGCCAATCGGAGGATCTCTCCTTCCCTTCTTTCGAGTTTCTTCTTTCGAGTCACGAGAGAGGCGACACGACCACCAGAGACGAGAGACACGAAGATCACGGCAATCTCTTATTTTCCGCGCGACCGATCCATTCGGCGCGAATTGGAAAACGCGAGCGGCAAGAGAACCAAGTTCCACGCGACCCGGAAGAGGCGGTAGAGAAAGCGGTTCGAGCGAGTGGGAGGGCTGGGAATCCGGGTAGTTTCGTTCGATCGTTTTTCGTCGAACCGAAAGTGATTTTTGCGGGGATGGAAAAGCTCGTCTGCCGGCAAATACATGGGTCGTTTTCTCCATCTCGTGTAATTATATGCGCCGGGTAATAAAGATTTTACCGACATGGAGAGGTAACAATTTAAGAAACATAATTCTGTTGCAAATCGTGCAAATATGGAAGAGAGGTTGAATTTAATTATCTTTATTTGTATCCTCGTAAAAGGGAATTAATAACGTGCAAACAACTCGGTGGAACGTTTACCGAGCAATAAAAACCGTGGTTGTGCTTGAATCGAGAAATGAATATCAATACGACCGGTCGGCGAGTCACCGCGTTGATTTGATCGAATTAAAAAAAAGAAAAAAAAATGAAATATGAATAGAGCGTCATTACACGCGCGAATATTAATTTTTCCCTTTTCTTTTATTTTTTTTTTTTTTTTTTTTGTTTAATTACCAATCTAAACATTAGCGCGTGCCGGTGACTAATTAAATTCGCTCCTCAGACAGATCGTTACCGTCTGAACGGATAATCGCTGGTAGAACTCAATGAACTCGACGAAAACGCGTCGAAGGTACAAGAAGAAAGAAGCGACAGCTAGTGAACTGTGCTCGCAGCAACCGCTCGCGCATGATTGGAAATTAGATTAGTCACGTTGAAGTGACTTTCAACGAGCCTCCTCCTCGTCCTCCTCCATTGTTACGTGGTTAAATTACGATACACATCGCGATGCGAGTACAGAAAAGAAAAGAAAAGAAAAAAAAAACTATCTGTGTACTTAACCTTTGCAGTGAAAGTAGAAAAATTGTAGAGGGAAGTTGACAGACTCGTTAAGCATCATCGTAAATTTATATACTTTTTTTTCTTTCAACGATAAAATTAACTCGAATCACTTTCAAAGATAATTACAATATCTTTAATCTTTACGTATGCGTATTTAAATTTTGACTTAACTTTTGATTCAAAAAAAAAAAAAAAAAAAAAAAAAATGGACCGATCAAAACTGCTGAACTTTTTAACCGAGATCAAAATAAGTAATAATGCAGCTCGACTACGATCGAATTGAAATGACGACGATACACAATTTTCCGGCGAGATAGTTCTGTTCCAGAAATCTGGAACTCGAACGAAGAAGAATTCGTGTTCGATCACGAGGAACGAAGAGTGTACGCGAAGAGTGGGCGGATAGCGAAAAACCGATCCGAAAGAACGTTGGATAACGTATCGAGGAACGAAAAGAACGGAAATTCCCGCAGAGAGAGAGAGAGAGGAAACAAGTTGGAAAAGCGGCGTAATGCGCAGTAAATTGGGGCCACCGTGTGTTCCCGATGTACCACAAATCTTGGACGCTAAGGTTCGCGACAAAGTTACGGTTAGGTGGAAAAGCCAGAGGGAAAGGGAAAGGTCGCAGGTCGGGGCGAGACGAGGTTGTTTGGCCGGCCGTCGGTGAACGACGTTGAGCCGGAGCACTTCCGTTTCCAGCGACATTTCTCAACTACCATCACGTCCGACGAATGTCGCAGTCGTACTCCTCAACGCTCTGAATCGAATCGGAGGACAGGGGGGTACCATGCAGGAATTCAAAGATGGCTTATCCGCTCTGTGAGTTTGTTTGCCTTCCTCCAATTATCGATCGATTGCTGAACAATTGTGAAACATAATGTGTTTTGATTCAACACGGTGATTGTTTTTTGAAAAATTCATTATCGCGCACATCATTGCCATCGAATCTATGATATCTCGATTCGTTTAATAATATATTGATTAATTAATTCGACTCACAAGAGATTGAAATGACGACGACACACAATTTTCTGGCGATAAGATGCTTCTGTTGTAGAAATCTGGAACAGAATGGAACTCGAACGAAGAAGAATTCGAGTTCGACCACGAGCAACGAAGAGTGTACGTGTTAGAGAAGAAGTACGTATTTAGAGAAAGTCTTCGAAACTTTCTGCAGCTTCCTTATGTACCGGTCGTCTTAAAATTATCAAGTACAATGATTCGTACAGAACATTTCGATCCTATCCCACACAGATCCATTTTATTCACAAATTGCCCTCGAATCGGAGATATTTGAATGAATCTCGGTCGCTCAAAAAAATTGGTCACGTCACGTTCGATTGTAAATCCTTTATCTACCCTGCTGCCATTTTTCTTCAACCCGGAATCAAAAACGGTGGAGGGAGCAAAGCCGTCTGAGCTGTCGACCGCACAATGCCGGAGAGATTTTGATTTATCTATCGCGCGAGTTGTCCGCGCGCCAACGAGCGGAGCAGACGAATCCTCGAAGGCAGCGATACGTGGCTTCGAAGAAACGAAGGGCAAAATAGTGGAAACGCGAGGGGGACGACGACGACGACGCGCACGGATTAGGCGCACCGAAGTGTGTGATAACGCGAAGGAATAGGAGAGAAAATTCTCTCTCCCTTCTGGTTTACAATCCTTATTCGACCCCCGCCGACTCGAAATCGCTCTCGAGAGCGGCGCTCGTTAATACTCGGTTTCGCTTCGACGTGCGCGCACCACGAAATTTCGGCTTGGTCGCGCAACCAAACCGAGAGATCTCCACCCTTTTCACTCGTGCGTGGAAAGCACGACCAGCGTGTTTTTTCTTTTTTTTTTTCTTTTCTTTTTTCCGTCTCTGAAATCCGATGGAGGAATCGCGTGCTTTTTTTTTTTTTCGTATCGAGCGAAACTTTATCCATCCAGGGGAAAGGTGTTTCGTTTAACCGGTATTAGGGGATCGGGGATATTTGTCACGAGTTGCGCTCCCCTCTTCGATCTTCGAAGAGTTGAATCGAAAGAGGCCGGGCATCTATCCAGGTATTTTTTTCAAATATTTAACCACAGTTAACCACAGTGAACGCGTGTTTGTCCTCTAATTGCATCGTGGGCTCCGGCAAACATTGCCTCCCCTCCCGTTCCCCTTCGATTCTTCTCGCAACAATATCACTTGACACGGCAATCTTCTCCTAAATCGATTAGCGGGGCGAACGAGTTAATTCTCGACTCGGCCTTTCGTATGGCCGAGCCATCCTCCCTGTTCCTGAGGGTCTTCTCAAGGGTGAAGGGACGATTTGCGGAGGGACGATCTACGCCGGAACGTAACAGGCCGCCTACACACACACACACACAGACACACACATTAGCCGGGGCCCGGGCTACTTCCATCCTCGTTATTAAACACACCGTGTTTGCTTTCCGATAAATGTTTCAACGGTCAACCCGTAAGCGCGGCCGCCGTGCTGCGGTTTCGCCCGACCGGATATGCAGTGCGTCGATCCGCGTTGTCCCATCCCCTCTTCGCCCCGCTGCTACCGCGCCCGCTTCTCCAAAACCCATCCCTCCCCTTCCCGCGTATATACACGTACACAGCTGAGCGACACGTTTCATCCACGACGTGTATTCCACGACGATAATTATTTTTTTTTTTCCCCCGCGGTGCGGAACACTCGGAATCGAATTGGATTGATTTTCAAACGATTTTAATTCGTTTGATCGAGAATTTAAGCAAGTGATCGCGGAGAAAATTGTTTTAAATGATGATAAGATTCGTTTGCGAGATTCGTTTTTTTTTTTCTTTTTTTTAAACGATAGTTTAATCGTTTCTCCTTATTATTTTCATTACTTTTCATCCGAACGAATTAACGGTTAAATGTTTTATACAAAAGATAGAGGTACATATAATGAATAAGGAAATACAGATGGACGATAATAATAATATTAATAACGCAGAATTTCTAAAATAGTGGTTATCGTTTCAGAGAAATGGAATGGAATGAATGATACAGAAATACAGAGGGCAACGTGGAAAAGATTATTGACGTTGCGGAATCTTTTGCGGAAAGATAAAAAGAAAGAAAAAAAGAAAGGGAAAGAAACACAACAAGCGATGCAATATTTCTTGCCGTCCAAGACTTCAACAGGGTTGAAACGAACATCGCATGGTATCTGGACCCCGCCAAATATTTCCTTCTTACCAATTATCCGCATGCAACAAAGCAGAAGTCGCCGCCGACCGAGGTCTGCCGCCTTTCGACCCTGTCCACAGGCTTTTCGTCGTCAACAACCATTCGAAACTCGAAAGCGGGCAATTTTTCACGGGCTCGGAGAACACGGGCCTCGCGCGGCTTGTAAATATTCGCGCGCGCCTCCACTCCACTCCGTCCGGGAGGCTTAATTGGCACAAGGACGGAGAAGCGGCTGTGGACAGGTCCGCCAGGTTCGGAATCGGCGCGGCGCGGTGAAATCGTAAATACTTTGCCACTCACCTATATTTCGCGCCGCGACGGTACAACCGCTGGTTACCAGCCACGCAAACACCAGGCCACTGAGTAGACCTTTCCGTCGACCCTTGCGGCACTCCATCGTCAAGTTCCGAGCTCCGACTACGCCTGCAAACAAAACAAAACCCCGGCATCGTTAGAGGGTGAGAGTAATTGCTACCGCGAGCGTTACACCGACCGCAGCGCGGCCAGATTTTTCATTCGGTTATGTTCCAGCATTTTTCGCGGGGAGGAAACATCTTGACCGGTTGGAACGAGGGGAGGAAGGGTGGAGAGGGAAGAGTCACGTCGCGGAGGTTAACTTCGTGTCGCGTAATATTTAACGAGATTTTATACAAAATTCCGAATTTAAAATAAATTTAATACGCGTTTTCACGAGTTTAGAGAACGGAGTGAGAGAAAGAGAGAGAGAGAGAGAGAGAGAGAGAGAGAAAGAGATTGAAGAAAATTGTATATCGATCGATTAATTTTTCCGCTATCCGATTTTAAATTTTTAAACTCGGGATAAAATCGGAATCGATAAGTGGAACAAAGCCCTTCTAAATTCCAATCTATCGGAGATCACGCCTCGTGTTCGACGCACACGCGGGCTGCGTTTTTTTCTTCCCCCTCCCTTCTCCCGAGATTTAAACTCGACGTCAGTCGCATTCTCGCGAAATCCCTTTGTCGCGCGGCATTATCGAAGGAAAACATGTTATCCGCGCGATTCCACGCCTAATCCAGCTCGCGCGCACCTGCTCTCCTATCGCCGTTCCAAATTCGTAACGATGACATCCCGCTACGAGGATTTTTCACGCACGAGTCGATTTCCCGTTATCCCTCCAGCTACGCTCTGCACCGAATCCGCTACCCTGCGAACAATGTTTGTTAAATGTTCGTTAAATCGACAAATTTCGATTCTCGAGGGTACGTAACTCTTTCTCCCCTCGATTTTTTCCAAAATGGAAAAAAAAAAAAAAAAAAAACAAGGAAACCGTGTGCGTGGCGAGGAAAGGAAATTGCAACGCTGTTGTCGGAATGGAACCGTGCAAATCAGCTTAATTCAGAGAAAACGGGCGCAAAGAGGGCGGGAAACGGCCTCTCTCTCTCTCTCTCTCTTTCTCTCGGGCTCGACTCTCGAGGGTTAAGCGAGCGATCCGAGCGCGCGAGAGCCGAGCGCACTGTGCGCCCCGTGAATGTGGGTTAACGAAGGCAAAAAAGGAAAACAATTTTCGCATCAGCGTTTCGGCATTCGGCGCACAATGGGACGAATGAAAACATTCGGGTCCGAGCGGGATGAGGGGCGAAGAATGTAGAGAACGAAACGAAGCGCGGCGTCCAAAAGAGAAAAAGGGCCGTGAAAAACAGAGGAACGGAAATAGAGCGCGGTAACGCCAATGCCGTGTTTCCCCTCTCCGCCCTTTCCCAGTCCGCACAACCGGAATACTACTAGCAGAAACTCCCCAACTATTTATTTCCGTTAAGAGTCGTGCGCCTCTTATACCCCCCCTTTTCCGAATCCCGTTCCACCGGAACAGAGATTTCGAGATTTCCGATTCTACGTGTCGCCATCATCCCTCGCCCCGATTAAAAATTTTAATTCCAATAATTCCTTTCCGACGTATCTCCAAACCTTTTTTTTCTTTTTTATTCATTCCAGTCAATCATCGCTCTCACAATTATCAAATCTCAAATCCCATTAATAACATTCCCCGAAAATCTGTACACCATCAACGTCAAACGGTCTCGCGTTACGCCAACTCGCCCCTTAACTCTCGTATCAATCACCGACCGCGTCGTGCGGCTCGATTTTACGCGACGCTGTTCGCAAGCGGATCACGATCCCGTGCAAACGCACTAACGACCGGTACACGTTTGGACCATTGCCAGTGTACGATCGTCGGCCAACGCGTCGCGAGTTCGAGCCGCGTGAATTTTTCCAACGAGTCTAATTAAATCGCGCGGCGAACGGTCTCCAAACCATTTCCCTCCACCCCTTTTGTTTTCCTTCCAACCACGTCCACATCTCGAGCGGACGCGGCGCTCTCCGATCTTTCGCTCTCTCGCTCCCTTTTTCTCTCCTTGCCCCGTTGAACGGCCGGTTAATACGAGCCGGCAGGATCGCGCAGCGATCCTTGATTATCGCGGAAACATCTGTAAACTCGGGGAGAAACAATGATAATTGAATAGAGCGCGCCGTTCTTCTGGCCGCGCACACGTCCGACGCATCACGCATAATTAATCCGACGATGCTTATCTCCTCTAACCTTGTACCCGCGGCGTCCACCACGTACGCGTGAATAGAATCGACCGATTCCCTTTTCATCGCCGCTCCCTCCCCCTCTCCATCGATTCTTCGTATTCGTTCCTTCCGTTTTCCCTCTGTTTAAAATGCCTCAATTCTCCTCGGTTCCTCCCCCCCACGATTGCATCGCGACCAGCTTCGCGTCGATCAATCGAATCCTCTCTACAGAATATCTCTACTTTTGTTTGATTATTCTCGCGACTCGATGCAGTGACGAAGCTAAATTAAATCCGTTTATCATCCCTGACTTGTGATTAATTACGGTGGATCGTGGGAAATAAGAAACGTAGGATTCGTACTATTCTGTGCAAACAAATATTACGAAATATAATCGATGATCACGTGTATATCGCGTCGCGAGATATTAAATCTCGGAAGATCGCACGAGGCAACGAGCAGTAAAAGGGAAACGTGATAAAACGCAAGCGCGTTTCCCGCCGATATCCACCGGGTGAAAAGCTTTATGCGCCCGATATATATTCAAGAACGCCCCGTTATCGGCTCGCGATCCCCCGGAAAAATCCCCAATTCGCGTGCACCCGCGCTCTCCTAGCGGGGGAGGAGGAGGGGGAAGAGGGGGCAGGAGAACGTTATTGTTTGCCCCGGCGGTCCCGGGCTAATTACATTCCCACGTATTTGCACAAGCGCCACGATAATTGCGATAAACCCGATGACAACGCGATTTCCATCTCTCGCGCAAGTTGGCCAACCACGCGGCCTATCCCGATATACAATTGGCCCCCCGCTCGCTATCGTAATCCCGGCCGATTCTTTTTTTTTTTTTTCTTTTTTTCTTTTTTTCCTCCTCGAGCGAATACGCGATCGCTTGGTAACCGGCCAGTCGCGGCCCGACTGGCTACTGACTGTATTTTTCAAGATCGGTAATCGAGAGAGTCCTCCGCGAAGCGTTCACCGCTTGGAAGAAATTCCAAGAATTCCGCTTATCGGATCGTCGAATCGCGTTTCGATTCGCGGCCCGATCTCCGCCACGGGGAGGGGATTTATGCGTGTTTTTTTTTTTTTTTTTCTTTAGAAACTCATATCTTGGGAATCGCGAGTAAAGCTTGCATTTCACGGTTCGGCGCGTGCGCGGCGTTGTTCGAGGGCGATGTTTATGAGATACGTAATTTAAAAATTCGATTTCGTAAATGATACGGGGCAAGAGGAAAAAAGCGTGTCATTAATGATTTTTGTGACCAACGATCTCTCGATCGTATACGTCACTCGAATCTTAGACATCACGTTACCCCGATATTTGAAGCCGAATCTCGACGCACGTCGATGCTCCATCTTTATTCTCGCGATTCCCTCTTCGATGTCTCTCCTCCTTTTCCTTCCTCGTCATCGTCCAACTGCATCCGCGCTCTAAACTTTCATCAAATACAATTCCCGACGAGGGAGAGAGAGAGGGAGGAATACCGATACAGTAGAAACGAGCAACACCTCCTCCGTGTGATGATAAAATTCGTGATTACCCACCGAGATTTAACGAGATCTCCTCCTCGAAAAACCAGTTAGAGCGCGTTTAAAACGGGGGAGGGCGGAGTAATTGCGATAACACGGGTAATCGGGCGCGATTCGGGATAATTCGGGAGGTCAGTTAAAATCGTTTCGAGGCCCCTCGGTTCCCTCGAGGGGTTGGGGGAGAGGGGGTTGGCGGTTGTTGGCGGACGAAGCTGATGGGTAACTAGGCCGCTTTGTCGGTCCCCTGCCGGTCGTTGAGGCGCGATCTCGCGACTGATTTCGAGCGCGAAACGCGTTAATTCGGCGGGCACGGATCCGATCCGCGCGAGACGGACGCGAAAAATGGGGTGGTTGCTGATCGACGGGAAAATTATTTGTTGAAAATGGCGTTATCGGGGCGGGGGGCCCACCACGGGCAGGATTTGCACGGTTTCAATTTTACACCCAGACGCATTTTAATGCGGCCGCGGAAACCCCGAACGCGATCGCCATTCCCAGGCGCAATTAAAAATAATTGCGTATTCGCGTGCCGCCCGAATTGCCGCCGCTTCGGCTCGCGGAACCGCAACCCTGCTTTCCAGGCGTTCCCCGCCGATGAGTTTTGTTTCGCCGATGTACGAGGCGCCATGAGCTTGATTAGCCGGTTATATACACTGGTTCGTGGTTCGAAAGGATCGGGGAATAATCGCCGGCCGGCTAGTTGTGCGTGCACTTGAAATTGTTTGATGGATTTCGTGTGTATGGTTAAGCGGAGAAATATATATATATAGGTATATGTAATAAATCGGCGAGAATCTGTATCGGTTGTTGTTACGCCGGGATAGATACTGCCGATTGTTAGATCGAAACGACCTGTTCGAAATATTTGCCTAACGAGCGAAAGACACGGCCGGCTCGTGTATCTCTGCCGCAATATAGGGAATTAAACAGATTTTCACCCGCGTTTAACGACAACCGCTTAAAACCATATGGAACTATTAAAAACCATATGAAACTCATACCCCGAATACCGTTTGTTTCTCTTTTCCTCGTTTCGCATCGAACGAATGATCGTGTACTTGTAGAGATCGTAATAGGAATCAGGAATATAAAAATTTGTTAACGTGTCAAATTTATCTTAAAACTGGATTCGAACTATTTTTATAATTCCGCGAATGTTAAATTTTTGTCGATGAATGAGAGAGATCGTTGGAAGCATTTTAAAACGCTTTTCGATTTATCCAGATACGACTTTTGGTTCCCGAGATATCGTCGTGCAAGAAACAAAAGAAAATTTTCAATCGTTTATTATTATATCTCCATCCTCGTTGTCTGTTCTCTTGTTTCACCAGACAAGCAACAGACGCGAGGTCCTTGAGAG